CATGTTTCGTTTCATGAACGAATCAAAGTGTTTATATAACCCTAAACCTTTCCATATTTTTAATCCTTTACTAAAACTTCGGCAGAAAATTTCCGGCTCCGGCAAATTCGTGAAAATTCGAAAATTAATGGCATTTTCACACTTCGAAGTGGAAGCACTATCGTTGTTTTTTATTTTAACACTTCCCATGAACACTTCGTACTATGTTTGTGGCAAGATCGATGAATTCAGGTTTTTTCGCCGATGTCCGACATTATTCTGCAGCACAAATAAGTGCTGACGGAGTTAAACAAGGCCAAAACTCCGGCGCACAGCACTACCCCCTCCCCAATGATATCTGAAAATGATAGTTGAATGGGCCTTATGCAGGTTTCCGTCCAATTTCCAGGAATTTCAGTTGCAATACTGGAAGTTTTATATGTTGTTTATATCATTATTACGAGTGTTCACCAAAAATTTTGAATCAAAAGGATTAATTCCTCCCGAGTTAAGCGTCTTGAAAAATAAAAGTCCTGACGTCAGCATTTTTTTCGAACGCCTTCAGAAACTGTGTTATACACCAAATTTAGTTTAAAATTCTTGGTTAAGGTTACGACGGGACTTCATATCTGATATAAACAAGGATTTAAACGTTTTGGCTCAAACTCGCCTTTATTTTAGCATTTGATTTTTGGATAAGCGCTTGCTGGTATAACATTGGCCATTTTATACCACCAAGCATTCATCCAAAAACCAAATGCTAAAATAAAGGCGAGTTTGCGCCTGCATAATGAAACCTGCATAAGGCCCATTACTGTAACCACGAAACCATTGGTAGGCTAAAAATAAAGATATATATATATATATATTGCATGAACTTTAAGGCAAAAAAGTTTAAAGAACTAAGATTTCTAGCAACAAAAGGGTGGTCATACTGTATGTTGGTAACTTAATTCCCTCCCAGAAGTGCCACGCCATTTCTGTATATTGATTTGCACGAGTGTACAATGTCCATATATTGTAAAACTTAAACATGATGGACAATGTTTCCCCTTTCGTTACCAACTCGTATTATTTCTTAGACATATATTAAGTTTCGAATCATCCAAAGTAACGTGTGTTATTTCCTTGGTTTGTATAAAAAAATTATGTCTTGTTTTGTCTCGCAGGCTTTAAATTACGAAGGAGAAATAATTGAATTACATCGTCTAAAAGAGAATCTAACCAATGTCCAGGCAGATGAACTTGACAGGTTTGCTTCACTCGTGGACTCCATTATTTGAATCGATCATTCTGAATGATATATTGTGAGTGTAATTATTTATAATACTTTATTTAAGTAATGCAAGTTCTAATTTATGTGAAATATGCAGTCAAGTCCTTTTCAATATGTGTAAATATATTAGATATGTGTATATATAATATACTAATTGACAAAACATCCATTTTAAACTATACAAAATATTCTTTATGTATAATATACTTAGGGGCCATTCACAAAGGATGTCCGGCCAAATGATGGATTTTCAGACCCCCCTTCCCCCCCTTGTCCGGCATTGTCCGAATTAGTGACCCCTCCCCCCGGACATCCGCCATGCCTCGCAAAAACTCACGCAACCTTGTATATATCAAGAGTAAAAAACTTTTTTTACTTTTAGAACTTTTTTATAACTGTAAATGTGAACACAAAAACATATAAATTACTAATTAAAACAAAATCTAGTGTTAACCGCATAGTCAAAATGCCAATTTCACAATGGGAAGGACTGCTCAAAATAGAGGGAAAAAGAAATTTGTTTTTGAATTTTTTTAAATTTCGGACATCCGGATTGTTAAAACCCCCCCTCCCCCCTATGTCCGAGTTTGTCCTGATTTTCCAAACCCCCCTCCCCCCTCGGCTCGGACATCCTTTGTGAATGGCCCCTTACCCAACAATGGCAGTTCTCAATTTATTATCTTCAATGGATGATTCCAACTATGGACGAAATTTTGACCTAGACAAGAAGAACGAAGGACAAGAAGACACAACTGGAAAGAGCATCTTAAAGTGAGTAAAATTGCAAAGTTTAGTTGCGAATTGGTGTAAAATAAGGAAAATATAGCCCTGTGAAGTTATATGTATTACGCGCGTGAAAAATAACCATTTTTGAGCCGAAAGCTGGTTATTTTTACCGCGCGTAATACATACAATTAATATATATACAAAATTTGCGAACTTCACAGGGCTACATTTTCTTCATTTTACAACATTTAGCAACCAAATATCTTTGCAGTTTTACTCATTCCAAGAAGCTCTTTCTGGCTGTAGTGCAACCTCGTACCCAGACTATTACCTTCGCTCACCCCCTGCAGGGGGTGAGCGAACGTAATATACCCTGGGTACGAAGTTGAATTTCGTGGTGTTGGATTTCGTTTTTCTAGCCTTGATAAAAATTTAGTGTACAGCTGGAATCATCCATTAGAATACATTAAATGGACTTGGGAAGCCTAAAACAGAATTCACGATAACATTAGCACCGAATGTTAAGAATTAGAAAAGTTAAACACAGGGACAAAATACGTGACACTTTTTTGCCGATTTGTGAATCTACCGTTCCCTCTTTAAGTGATTTCCCTGTAATAATTCGCGACAGATTAAAATGCATGCATGTTTCAGGGTTCCAAATGGCATTTTGCTTGTGCCTGGGGTTCAGTATTAAAAAAAATTTATAGCCCAATTTTCAAGTTTTCAAGTACCCCCCCCCCCCCTAAAACTTTTTTTGCGAGAGGCTTATCAGGTAAAGATTAGCGCAAATGAATTAATGATACATGTTTTGATATGTATTTAGACAATTTAGTAATATATGGCTGTAAAGTATAGTCCATTTTACAGGTTTTGATACCAGTACTGATGAAAATTGGCATGACTGCACTATAAAAACATTATAATTAGTGACAATTGCAATACAATTTACAATTACAATACACACAATTTTAGCATTTCTGGTGTTGGTAATGTCTTTATAAAATTGCCGTTCTAAGTTCTTTTGAAAATCAATACTAGACAATTTGCATGTTAGCAAAGCATCGGGAAAAGTCAGTGACCATAAATACTGTGACGTTATAAAGTTACCGTTTTAAAGGTCAAGTGCAGCTTAGAGATGAGTGTGATAATGATATACTTTTACAATTCATGTATAGAGTCTATATATAGACGTTGGTTTATTTTAAACTCTAGTTTTAGTACTCAAACTAAAAAAACAAGACCATGCCTATGCCCACATTATTAGAAACAACAGCTTTAAAAACAACACCGAAGAATCCAATTTAGTTGACGACTAATTCTTAAAAATTACAATGTATTATTAAAAATGTACGCCAAACATGAATCACAATTCGTCATTGCGTTATTTGCGTATATAATCATTGCCTCAATAAATGAGTGATACGCGTAATAACCAATATTAATTCAGTACATTGTAATATTGGTAGCTGTACTGAATACAAGGAATATAATGTATTTCTTGCTTGCTTTTGTTCTGTTTACACCAAGGTTTACACCAATGTTATTGCGACAGATTTGCGCAAATGTAATTTGATACCACACATTGTAATTATATAAATGCAACTAGTTTTCTGGGTGTGAGAAGGTGAAGAAGACTGGGAACGTCCTAGTTTTTTGAGCGCAGGGGTCTGAGAACGTCCTAGAATTACCTTATTTGGAAAAAAACTAGGCTGTTGTCGTCAAAAACTAGGACGTTCCCAGCTCCAAAATACCAATCGCGCATAATGACGTTGTTTTAATCTGAATCTGGACATGTTGACAGAATAATAACATTCCTAAAACAGAGATTATTAATATAATACGGAAACAGCTTTACATACCGTATTAAAATAGCAGAATATTTCGAAATTAAGCATGATAATGTAGAATACACGTACACAACACAAACTGACAGCCGATTTTGTGACCTATATCAGGGCGTCCTAGTTTACGCTTTCTGGTTGCCTAGTTTTTCAATTTTTACCATTCTTTTGCCTAAAATTGGAAAATTTATGAGATTGGGTTCCCAGGCACAACTGGCCTCATTTGGAATCTTGCATGTTTGGATTAAGCCTTTGGGATCTAGCGTCAGCGATCGAGTGCTCTACTTCACGGCATGCATGAAAATACTTCGTGCCAGTCACATCGTTTTTCGTGGTATGGATTTCGCAAATTTTAAAAACTGGACGTCTTTCATAAATCTCGGTCAGGGAATTGGAATGAGTTATATCTTGAACAATAGTGTTTGAATAAGTTTGAATTTAATTGTTTAACGTATTTGCTTGGAGTTCATAAGAATAATTCATAGGCATCACATACAACATATTGGATGATACAGCAATGACAATGGTACATTTTATTTCGCACAAGAACTGTAGATTACTAAGTAACTGAATATATTATTAGTATAGAATTTCACAAAGGCTGTCGGCGATATGGATGATATACCGAGTTAGTCGTGGCTAAAGGGGATGGACTAGAGGCAGGTTTTCAAGATTGGCGCCAGTTTTTAAGATCATTATGACGTAAAAGAATCAACAACCAGCCACTTGCAACAATACTAAACCTTACCCTCACCCCACACCTAATCCTAACCCCCACATTAACCCCAATACTAACGCAAACTCTTATTTCTGATTTTGGAACCATCTTGTATCGTCTATCCCTTTTAGACTTTACCATACAGAGTTGCCAAGCAGGTGGAATGAGGCACAAATTCCAGCTATGACCCTAAAATACCCCAATATTCATATTTTTACAAAAAATGCCAAGGTGTTCTCATATATCTATAAAAAGAACTGGGAACTACATTGTGATTAGCCAATATGAATTACCAAAGCTTTACTTGTTTTAATTTGTAATTTTTATAATATTAATTAAATTGGGCAAGGGGTTAAAATTATTCAAAACCATTCATTTGGTGATCCAGTATATATGAACACAGTCAAACTTATTCCTTCATAAGCAAAGCAAACTCGTTCACACACAAAGCGTCCTGCTAAATATTGATGTCTTTCTTGTAATATGCCAAAAAGAACATGCCAGCAAAGCCAAGAATAACACCGATATTCTGGAGAAGGAATAATGTGATCTTCGACTGGTCACTTTGTTCTGTAACGTGCATCAGTTCAGGCAACTACATAATGTTAAGAAATATTTAATATTTTGTTTTAATAAATTATAGAGCACGGGTCTTTGGTTCTTTAAAGGACTACGGTGGGCACGAGCAATACCACGAGAAATTGTTTTTAAAGACTGACTATCTCATAAACGCAATAGTTTAGAAACCCACTCTTTAGACCACTAGCAACTCTATATGTACCACTATACAGGGTGTTCCGGGAAAAAATGCAATAGCTAAATGTCCAGGTTTTTACACAGCTAATTATTAGGGACCGGTCATTATTTATGGCCCGGGGGGGGGGGGGCTCCGAAGAGAAAATGGGTGGGGAAACAAAATTTGATGGGTGGAAATGGGTGGGTGGAATAAAAATTCATGATCACCAAGCCAAAGGGTGGGTAAATTAAAAATCATTAAGTCGGAAAATACTAAAATATTTGTATTATTTGTTTTATTTATTTTATTAAGATCGAATAAATATTATTTACTTTATATATCGATTTGCAAAGTATTCCATTTGAACTTGCCATAAAAGTCTTGATAAAGTGACAGAGTTCATATTTGTTGGCTTTTTTGTTCTAAGATTTTGGAATGAGTGCTGGGGTTGGGTGGAGGGTGGCCTTCGCTCGAAACGTCGACGCTTTCTTGTTATCGACACTACCTACGCTTGCACGTCTCGTTAGCGTTTATAGGGTAATCGTGATTGGCGCTAAAAATCGAACAGAACGTTTGTGCACGAAACATGAGAATATTATCCGACGTTCTTTTGCCGTTTGACACGAGTTGCTTCACGCCAACAGAATAAGTTGCCCTCCGGTGCTTACAAAAATTACCGTTATAGTTTATATAATACGTTTGGCTGTATATGTAAGTAATAGTTTACTGACCTTGTTTGTCAGTGCAATATAAAGGAAAAATCCGCCGGTCACTCCAAGAATCCACACATTCACATCTTCAATCTCACCAATCAACTTTCCGAACACAAGTCCCATAAAGCAAAAACATGATGAGACAAAGTTCGCAATCACTGCTTGTCGTACACTCATTCCAGCAGACAATAGTACAACAAAATCACCTGGTTAGAAGGTAGAAAATTTGAAATTTTAGTAATGCGTGCTCAATTGTTTGGGTATTGTGGGAAACACCACGTTTACTTTATATTTCAGAATTGCTTTTGATCCGCAAGGATCTTTATGAGTGAAAATAACGAAGGGCAACTATACATGTATGCCGCTTTATTTTTACTGATGCACGTGATAGATATTTTTACCAGGACTAGATCATTTTTGACAAAATTATTTTTAGACATCCATGCTACAAATTATTTCAAACATTGTGGGAGCATACTAGACAAACTGCGCATCCTCAGTTGAGCAAGTTCGGTTTCCAGAAGCAGTGAGTCAATAATTTGTACGAAAAAAAGATGAACTGCACACCTTGACCTGAATATAGGTATGATCCCACGAGCCGTAAGTCAATTTCGTTTAACAAATCGTGTAGACATAATGGAAAACCTCAAAAAAACAAAAGAAAATGGTCTACCAAGCATATAAACAAGTTAAAAGACCACGGCGATCGGTTTTTATTCAACTGTAACCATGGATCATAAAAATACTGGACTCATGCGGTGTTTTCCATGATGTTTTCATGGCCTCTCTGCAGACTTGTTGACAGGGTCTTAGCCAGCCTACCGTCCAGCCGTCTTTTGGACGGCCATTTTCAAATTTGGACGGCCTTCTAAAAAAGACGGCTTTTGGACGGTAAACATAAACATTGCTCACTTGCAAGCTGCCAAATCTGTCAAACCAAAGATTCCTAGGCCTAGCTGCCAAAAACCGTAGAATATAACTATATATATATATAAGATAATTAGTTGCTTTGTGTTGTTTTTTGGTTGTGTTCTTCACTCACACTATAGCTTATCAAAGCTACAAGTACTGAAGTACTGTATTTATAGCATGAAAGTGACAACATAATATCAATCATAAGATTAATATATTGGCAGATGTACTTAAACTGTAGTCAGTGTAGTGAGTAGTCACATAGTCTGAATAATTGAATATATTATTAGTTTTTTTGAGCGATTCTCAAGTGCGGTCACAGATTACTCCCAGCATGCGGAAATAATCACATTGAATTACTGGTGCATGAAGTGGTGCCATGGTTCCATATGGAAAAATATGGGTGTCATAAATGAAATTTCAAATTTGGACACCCAAGTTGCAAATCCTGGCTAAGACCCTGCTTGTTAAAAATTATGACGTCACTTTAAATCCCAAATAATTCCACGTTTAAATAAATCCCAAATAATTCCACGTTTAGTATTAGTCAATAACCGTAAGAACACAGCCATGCGACTCTACAATGGAATATCTAAATATTGTTGATCATGCATTTTCAGGGAGCATATCACATATTAGACAGTAAAATACGCGTCACAAATTTCAATTACTAGTTTTTGTCATGCCAGTTTCTTGATTACGAAAGTAAAAAACCTTAAACAAAGACAAAAAACATAAATTTTCCGTTGAATAATGAAACCATTTTGAATCTCAATATACTTTAGTTACTTGAATGCGAAAAATATAGGAAAATTCGTGACATCACGAATTTCGAATAGGTCACGTCTGCTCCTATCCATTTTCTTTCAACTATCCTGGCCTTCGGTCTTCACAGTTAAATATAAACCTCTCCCTTGTTCTTTAATCTATACCACAGAGTAGAGACATACAGAGACGTAACTGACCGTTGTAAACACTGCGGAAGATTACGTTATCATGTAGCCACTTTTTTTTAGGCGACCGGGCGAAGAATTATCAACTGCGCGTGCTCAGCAAGTTTAAAGTGAGTCGTCATCAGGTCGTCATCCAATCAGATGCATGCATCTACTAACTTGCCGAACATGCGCACAAAAAAAGTGGGTACACTAGTTACGTCTCTGTATGTCTCTACTCTGTGTCTATACTAGCTGTCTTAATCTCCATTTTTTACTCTCCGCCGTATACTTACCCAGTTCATGTGGTACTTCGTGACACAAGACAGCAATAGAAGTACTAACTCCACCCAAAATGCTATCACTAAATGCTACACCAATAGCGATCCCGTCTGCAATGTTATGTATTGTATCTCCTATGATAACTGTCCAAGCCATTGGTGCAATATGGCTCTCATCATCAATGTTGTCTTCCATTTCAAATTGATTGTCATTTGTAAACTTTGGTGGTGCTTCTTTTTCAATCATCTAATAGAATAGAATAGAATAGAATAGAATAGAATAGAATAGAATAGAATAGAATAGAATAGAATAGAATAGAATAGAATAGAATTATTTATTTATTTATTTAATGCTGTAACGCAACGAAATGTACTGTAACTGTGGGGCTCGTGGTACACTGTTCAACAACTAAGGGTTAAAGCCTGTTCTCCCTTTCAACCATATCGTACCAAACGTGGCGTATTTCTTTGTTCCTGAGTACCAGAGTGAAACTATGCGACTTTGACACAAAGGAAAATACTACAACACCTGCTTAGACCTGTACAGATTCTGTACTAAAACCACTAATTCTGTTTTGTGATTGGCGCGGTTTAAACAAAGAATCCTCCCGTTGAACCAGAGCCTTCACGACGTTTCAATTTATTATTTACTGAAGGCTCTGGAATCCAGGGTAAGACCTGTAGGGCCTTTACTCGACAGGCGGTACTTGATTTACAGGTTAATTAACTTCAATGACTTCACGGGGCGGAAGAATTGCGCCTATGACGTAAGCTAGCAATTCCTTTGACCCCGCCCTTAAATTACCTAGGTTCCAGTCTTCCCACGTGAAAAAGCGCTGAAGTATAAATAGAAGGCCCAAGGTCTAGGCTGCTCAGATACATTACGATACGTTGAAGTCGGGGGGAAACAGGTTTTAGTATAAGGTGAGAGAGAAAAAGCCTCAAAGCAAAACAGAGAACCAACATGACTTTCCCACTGTTTAACTTATCTGCTACCCTAACACTCGATTTAGTGTGACAGGCTAAATCAGTAGCGTATCCAGTCCGACGATTTAATCCCGCTATGCAAATATTCTCGTGTTCATTGACTCTGAAAACAATCAATTTCTAAAGAAATGAATAATGATAATAATTTTGAATTTGCATAGCGGGACTAAATTGTCGGGCTGGCTACGTCACTGACAGGCTTATGTACTAGTACTATTCCCTACAGTTATCATTGAAATAAAGAACAATGCCCTATTATCCACACAACAATCTAAGACTACAATCAACTCCTTCAAAAAAGATTACTCATTAAGCCTGAACCGCGAGCCTTTTCAGGCTAAGAATGTTTTAAACTATTTGCCCTTATGCGAAGATCTAAGTATAATCGAAAATGTTTCTGCAAACCTCACTTTTGACGAAAATGAATTAGATCAGCGTGAGCAGGATTTATCCGATGGGTGTCAACATTTCAAGCAACGTGGGAAGCAAGGCATATGTAGGAATTGCGACCGATCCTATGCAAAAACCGTGTTAAGCCTTGATGCCCTTAACCCTGACCAGGTGAATCCCCGATCGGATAGGTCAATCAGCGAGTCAAATCTAAAGCATTCTTCGTTCCCTCATCTTCCAGCCCCGAGACCCTCAAGTCTTAGACACGGTCAAGTTACAAACCCCTTAGGGTTTCGAAGGCACCATTGTAGCCGGTATCCTTTTTTAAAACGTTGTCGTGTCATTCCTTCGTATCGGACAGCCCATCGCCACCACTCTCTAGAGTGGTTGGCCCATCTCCACACAGTGGCCTGTTTGACGAGTCAGCAGCAGACAATATGATGAAAATACCTGTTAGAATCACTTCACGTCAGAGACCATCACGTCAGAGACTATCATATCAACTAACCATTAATAATTCTTCTAGTGTTAACAATAACTTGCAAAATAGAAATCTTGTTCGTGTTCCTTTGTCCAACCCTGCCTCTCCAAACGCTTCCGCACTCTCGTGGTCACTCACGTCGAAAACCACTAATGATACGGCCTCAGCCCATTTAACAAAAAAGTCAGATAACAGCCTCAGTACCCTTCCAGGTCTCAAACTGGTCCACCTAAACATCCGCTCTCTGAAAAATAACGCCCATTTTTTAGAATTACGTAAGTTTACCAAATTTAACAAAATTGACGTCCTTACAGTATCAGAGACATGGTTAAATACCTCCGTCACAAACAAGGAAATAGAAATCGAAGGTTATAAGCTACATCGTTTAGACCGACTGCACAAGAAAGGGGGCGGGGTATGTGCTTACATACGAAAAGATATTAAATCTCTTGTACTTAAAGACCTCAGTTATATCTCCGAGACGAATTTCCATCAATTATGGATCAAATTACAGCACAAAAAATCTAAATCACTGTTGGTCTGTGTCTCTTATCGACCCCCAGACAGCCCGCTTGACTGCTTCGAAAAATATTTTAAACCTAATTATGTTCATGCTCTGACGATGGGAAAGTTGATCATTCTTCTTGGAGACCTAAACTGCGATATGCTTAAGCCCACACCTGGATCAGCGTCTTTGATCAAGACGACAAAAGAACTCAACCTTAACCAGTTAATAAAATCACCAACAAGAATTACTGAATCCAGTCAGACCCTCGTCGACGTTATTTTCGTATCCTCGCCAAGACTAGTAGTCAACAGCGGCGTCATAGAAACCTGTATCAGCGATCATTTCCCTGTGTATGTATCACTAAAACTTAAAACCGACAAATCTCCACCAAACTATATCACTACCCGCAGCTACAATAAATACGACCCTGATTTGTTCGCGATCGATCTGGCATCCAACCGTGATCGTCTTGTTTCCATTTTCAGAATGGACAATGTTGATGAAAAACTAACCATTTTTAATGAAATATTTTTAAATACATTGGATAAACACGCCCCAGTAAAGACCATAAAAGTACGCGGAAAATCTTGCCCATTTATCACCTCGGAAATAAAAGCATCCATGATCAAAAGAGACCAGCTCCACAGTCTTTTCAGGAAAACACGTGATCATTATGATTGGCTTAATTTCAGAGAGGCCCGCAATTTTACAAAAACCGCACTTGTTAATGCACAGAAAGAACATGTACTGAAGGAAGTTCAGCAACACAGAAACAATACTGGGTCACTTTGGAAGGTAATTAAAGAAAATATAGCGTATAGGGAAAGAGAGTCAGTGGTCTACAGTAAGGAACCGAAATTAGTGGCCGAAGAGTTTAATCATTTCTTTTCCACCATCGGTGTGAATGCAGCAAAGAAAGCCTCAACACTAATACAAGATCCTAGTGTTTATCCAGCTCGGAATCTTTCTGACGTAAATCGCACAGATAACAGCTACCCTGAAGAAAATGATAGATTTAGTTTCACCCCAGTCTCTTGTTCAGAAATAAGGAACATCATATTAGCTATGCCGTCAAACAAATCACCCGGCAAAGACAAAGTGAGTATGCGTGTCATCAAACACAGCCTACCGGTAATTCTTGGGCCCCTCACCGATATCATTAACTGTTCACTGTCGTCATCTTCGTTCCCTATAGCATGGAAAGAGGCAGAAGTTATCCCTTTGTTAAAGGATGGAAACCACGAGGAAGCATCAAATAACCGCCCACTTTCTCTCCTTACCTTTCTTTCGAAAATTTGTGAAAAAGTCGCCTTGAATCAATTTGGTTCGTATCTAATGAAGAACAAAAAATTGTCAACCCACCAGAGCGGGAACAAGAAACATCACTCATGCGAAACATTGAATCTTTTGACCGGAGATACTATCCTAAAGGCCATGGATGGGAAATTGGTTACTGCACTGATTCTAATAGATCTATCTAAAGCTTTCGACAGTGTAAATCATACTTTTCTCCTTACAAAACTTAGCAACGTCGGGGCTTCTCCAAGCGTTGTAAAATGGTTTGAGAGTTACTTGACCGGAAGAACTCAATCAGTCAGAATTGGATCAACTGTGTCTACTCCTCTCCCTGTTTCTTATGGTGTACCACAGGGTGCAATTTTATCACCTTTACTTTTTAGTATTTATACTAACGATTTGCCCTCATCAGTCCACCATAGTAAACTTGAATCGTACGTGGACGACTCCAAGATATTACTATCTTTCACTGTGGCTAACGTGGACTGTTTAAAGCAACAACTTGAGGAAGACTTGTATTTGATTGCAAACAGTTGTTCCGAAAATGAATTGCTTATTAACCCGGGAAAGACCAAATACATGCTGATTGGCACACGGCAAAACCTACAACAACTTCCCGTAGATATGACCATAAACTTCCTCAACGAGACTATTACCCCCGTCTCCTTTGCCAAAGATCTAGGAATGACAATCGACTCTTATTTGACATATGACCAGCACATCACCAACCTGGTTTCCTCATGTATGAATTCCCTGTGCCAAATAAACCGAGTCAAAAAATGTTTCGATAAAGAAGCTTTAACTCTCATCGTCTCGGCACTTGTAATGAACAAAATGTTCTATTGTTCAACGGTTTGGTCAAACACTTCGTCTACCAACATTAAGAAACTACAGTTGGTACAAAATTTTGCATGCAGGATAATAACAAATATTGGAAAGTTCGACCATATTTCGCCGGGCTTACGCGAACTTAACTGGCTCCCAGTAAAGGAACAATTACTACTAAGAGAGGCTATTATGATGTACAAATGTGTCAATGAACTTGCTCCACATTATTTGAGCGATTTATTCACAAAACGTTCTGACATTCATCAACGAGATACACGTAGCCATGACTCACTGCAAATACCATTGTACAAAACTTCTGCAGGTCAAAGGTCCTTTCATTATAGAGGCGTTACACTCTGGCATGATTTGGACATTAAGTTCAAAAAGTTAAACTCCCTAAAAACTTTCAAAAACGAACTGAAGCGAAGCATGCTAGAACAAATATATAAGTAGATAATTTTACCTTGTTAAACTTTATACAAATGTCTTACCTTTTTACCTTAATTTAAATTCTAGATTCTAAAACTTGTAAATAGAACAACATTTATTTTTTGTAAATCAGTGTTGAAAATCCCTATTTAGGGAACACAATAAAGTATGTATGTATGTATGTATGTATACACAAATACGATTCAGAGAAAATGGGAACAGGAAAGTGTTACAATACAAAGAGAATCATAATACCCATGATAAATTTTAGAATTGATATACCAAACAAGGTCAGTAGAATTCTACAATAAGCTGCCGTGGTTACGTT